CAGATAAGATGAAGAAAAATGTAAATGGCCCAGTGGAAACATGGGAGGAAATATTGATTGGAAAGAAGAAAAAAAAAGCTCTAAAGAAACGTGACAAAAATGCTGTCTTCTGTCTAATTGTGTTTTGTCTTTTAATGTGTCCTATTACCCTTCATGTGGGTTATTTTTTATAAATAGCACTAGAATTATCAACGTGAAGACAATGTGTTTTTAATTTGTGTTTTATTAAGAAAGAACCATTATCTTCTTCTTCTTCTTTTTGTGTATATATAACAAGAAAATAAATAGGTTCCATTGACCTAAGTAAAAAATGAATAGAAATGCATGAAATGTTTCATTCCTCATGCATCTTTACTAGCTTAGCATTTGATTTGCGCACTGGTGGAACTCCTCCGCTCTATCGACGGTAATAAATACATTTTTATCCCTTCCTTTTCCGCTGGATATGAATCCCGGTGTCGGAGGGATTAGTTTCGTGTGCAAGTAAATTCCATTGTCAGTTGTGTTTTGAGGGGAAATGTAATTACACCCTGCAGTACGTCCCCTGGCGCTGCCTCTCTTACTGTAGGAAGCATCTCATTTATGTTGCACGTTCCAGTGGTGTGAGGTCAGCGGGGTTCAACGCACAGCATTATGAGAAAAGAAAACAAAGAAGTTTGTTGGAGTCTCGCAATGAGATGAACAATTCTAACCTCACGGGGGTGAGTTACCATCACTGTGTGAGGAAATCATCCATCCATCTATCTATTCATCCATCTATCCATCCATCCATTCATCCATCTATCTATCATCCATCTATCTATCACCCTATCCATCCATCCATCTATCTCTGTCTCTCTCTCTCTATCTCTATCTCTCTATCCATCCATCTACCATCCATCCATCTATCATTCATCCATCCATCTATCTATTTATCCATCCATCCATCCATCCATCTATCTATTTATCTATCTATCCATCATCCATCCATCATCCATCTATCCATCCATCCATCCATCTATCTATCTATCTATCCATCCATCCATCCATCTATCTATCTATGCATCTATCTATCTATCTATGCATCTATCTATCATTCATCCATCCATCCATCCATCCATCTATCTATTTATCTATCTACCCATCATCCATCCATCATCCATCTATCCATCATCCATCCATCATCCATCTATCCATCCATCATCCATCCATCTATCGTCGAGTTGACTAGTGATTTAATGACTTCCATCACATTGACATAGGAGGAATTACACAGACACACACATACAG